TAAATTCCCTTAGCCATTTTTTGTCTGTGAAGTTCCTGATTTCCCCTTCAATTTTGAATGATAGCCTCGCTGGATAGAGTATTCTTGGATTCAGTTCCTTGCTTTGCATTACTTTGTATATTTCATTCCATTCCCTTCTGATCTGAAGTGTTTCTGTTGAGAAATCATTTGATAATCTAATGGGAGATCCTTTGTAGGTAACTCTCTGTCTCTCTCTTGCAGCCCTTAAGATTCTTTGTTGTAAATGTTTGCCATTGTAATTATGACATATCTTGGGGTGGGTCTTTTGGGATTCAACTTATTTGGGACTCTCTGTGCTTGTGTAACTTTTTTCTTCCCCATATCAGGGAAGTTTTCTGTCATTATTTCTTCAAATAGGTTCTTTAATCCTTGCTGCTCTTCTTGTCCTTTTGGCACCCCAATTATAAGTATGTTACTTTGTTTCATGTTGTCCCAAAGCTCCCTTAGGCTCTCCTACTGCTTTCTAATTTTTCTCTCTAGTTGCTGTTCAGATTAGGCTTGTTTCTCTACCCTATCTTCTAGCTCACTAATTCAGTCCTTTGCTTCTCTTACTCTCCTGTTGAAACCTTCCATCGTGTGTTTTTTTGTAGCTGTATCACTTTTGATTTCCTGATTCTTAAATAGGTTGTTGATTTTCTTGTCCATCCAGTTTATGAACTGTACGACCATTATTCTGAATTCTTTTTCTGACATATTGCATGCCTCTCTTTCATTTAGTTCCTTTGGGAGGGGGATTCCTCCTTTTCTTTCCTTTGGGGGTTGCTTTTTGTCTCCCCATTTTTGCTGCCCCTGAAGGGTCCAGTGGCCAAGTTGCATGACACCTGAGCTGTGGGGCAGGCTTGGTGGGAGTGTAGCGTGCCCCAACAGTCAAGGGCAGGCTCAGGGTATTGGGAGGCCTGGCGGCACAGGTCAGCAGAAACCCTGTGAGCACCATGAGTCAGGGGCCAGCTCAGGTGTCCAGGAGATGTGGCCACTGATAGTTAGGGGCCAGCTGGGGTGTCTGTGACATGTGGCCAGCGGGAGCTGTGGACTCCAATAGTCTGGGCCAGCTCGGGTGCCTAGGAGGTGCAGCCGGCAAGAGCCATGAACAGGCACATGTGTAGACAGTCAGTGCTGGCTCCGGTGCCCGGGAGGTGCGGCTGGTGGTACAAAGAAAATTTTTATTGATTTTTAGAGAGAGAAAGGGGGGGAGGAAAGCATTGATGTGAGAAAGAAACATCAATTGGTTGCCTCACACACATGGCCAGGATAGGGATAAAACCTACAACCTGGATATGTGTCTTGCCTGGGAATTGAACCCACCAACTTTTGGTGTGCTGGATGACACTCCAACCAACTTAGCCACATGGGCCAGGGCTACAAAGGAACTTCAAAGGGTCATTTTTCTTAAATGAGGCTACCAACAACTTTCAAGAAAACAGTTTTAATTAAAAGATAGAGTTGAAAATGAGGTAAGAATGTGAGAGTGAGAAAGTGGAAGCAGAGTATAACTATACTTTCAAAAACTATAATAAAACAACTTAATTATTCTACAATGAAATATTACTCAAAGTCTGGAAGATATAGTAGAATACTATAGGGCCATTAAGAGAAATGATAAAAAGAAAACATGCTGACAGAAAAAGAGGCCAAATACATTTTTAAGCATTTTTTAAAAAACATACAACAAAGAACACTTGCATGAACTAATATCAAGCCTCAAAGTATGTGAAGCAAAAAGTAAGAAAAGAACTATAAGAAATGAATAACTTTATAATAATGATTAAGCATATCTTCCAGACTTTCACTAATATTTTATTGTAGAACTAGAGGCCCGGTGCACAAAAATTTGTGCACTCGGGGGGGGAGGGGGAGTCCCTCAGCCCGGTCTGTGCCCTCTCACAGTCTGGGACCCCTCGGGGGATGACCATCTGCTGGCTGAGGCCTGCTCCCCAGGGGATTGGGCCTAAGCTGGCAATCAGACATCCCTCTGGCAGCCCAGCAGCCATTGGGGGATGTCCACTTGCCAGCAGGGAGCAGACCTAAGCTGCAGTCGGACATCCTTAGCGCTGCTGAGGAGGCAGGAGAGGCTCCCACCACCACCGCTGTACTGGCAGCCATCAGCCTGACTTGTGGCTGAGCAGAGCTCCCCCTGTGGGAGTGCACTGACCACCAGAGGGCAGCTCCTGCATTGAGCGTCTGCCCCCTGGTGGTCAGTGTATGTCATAGTGACCAGTTATTCCCAGTCTTTCTGCTGTTAGGGTCAGTTTGCATATTACCCTTTTACTATATAAGATAGAGGCCTGGTGCACAGGTGGGGGCCAGTTGGTTTGCCCTGAATGGTGTCCCGGATCAGGGTGGGGGTCCCGCTTGGGTGCCTGGCCAGCCAGGGTGAGGGGCTGATGGCTGTTTTCAGGCTGCCCACACCCCCTTCAGGGTGGGGGTTCCCACTGGGGTGCCTGGCCAGCCTGGATGAGGGGTTGATGGCTGTTTTCAGGCTGCCCACACCCCCTTCAGGGTGGGGGTCCCCAATGGGGTGTCTGGCCAGCCTGGATGAGGGGCTGAAGGCTGTTTTCAGGCTGCTCGCACCCCTTTCAGAATGGGGGTCCCCACTGGGGTGCCTGGCCAGCCTGGATGAGGGGCTGATGGCTGTTTTCAGGCTGCCCGCCCCCCCTTTAGAATGGGGGTCCCCACTGGGGTGCCTGGCCAGCCTGGATGAGGGGCTGAGGGCTGTTTTCAGGCAGGCCAAGCCTGCAATTGAAGCTCCCAGTCTCTTCTTTTTTTTTTTAATATATTTTATTGATTTTTTACAGAGAGGAAGGGAGAGGGTTAGAGAGTTAGAAACATCGATGAGAGAGAAACATCGACCAGCTGCCTCCTGCACATCTCCTACTGGGGATGTGCCCGCAACCAACGTACGTGACCCTGACCGGAATCGAACCCGGGACCTTTCAGTCCGCAGGCCGACGCTCTATCCACTGAGCCAAACCGGTTTCGGCTTTTCTTTTTTTTTTTATTCTGGGATTTATTTACCTTCTGTAATTGAAACTTTGGTGCAGCTCCAGCTCCGAGACCGGCTGGCTGAAAGCAGGTATCTGGGGATTGTTTAGCTTCTATAATTGCAACATTGTTGCTTATAGTGCAGCTCAGAGCTGGACTGCGGCAGGCTGGGAACCTTGGCTTCCTCCAGCACTGGAGCAAGCAAGCCTCCTGTTCGCTTCAGCTGCCTGGCTGCCAGCCGCCATCTTGGTTGGCAGTTAATTTGCATATCACCCTGATTAGCCAATGGGAAGCATAGTGGAGGTATAGTTAATTACCATGTTTGTCTATTATTAGATAGGATATTTAATAAACTTCCTGGGACACTCCATTTCCCACAAATAGCCAAGCAAGTGTGATTCCAGAGGACCTCTGGCCCACAGCACCAGTGGTCACAGCCACATAAGGTCATATGGGGCAACAGGTACTTGCCTACCAGCATCCAGGGACTACTCTACTGAGCACAGGAAGAGACCCAGAGACCCAGAGACCCAGAGACCCAGAACCATCAGGAGGTGGATGATGAGCTCACACATCCAGAGAGCCATGAGTAGCTCCTCAACAGGGCTCCCCAGGCTGCGACACAGTTGAAAGGGACTGGCTTTTTACCAACAGGAATAAAAGTATTTCTATTTTAACTGTTGCATCACCTGAATAGTGGGTACTGATTGCATATTAGTCCTGAATTTTCCTTAAGGAAACTTTTCAATGCAACCATTGATTCATCACAAGGAAAAAAAAACAGAAAGGAAAATAAATGATAGTGAAAATAAACAGCTACAAGCAATGTGAGTGAGAAAAACATATAGTTGAGAGAAAAGTCATGAAAGAATACATACACTAAGATTTCATTCATATAAAGTTTTTAAGTAAAACTACACAATACTTATAGAGGAGCATAAGTCATAAAAATGCAAAGAAATAATTATTAGGGTTGTGAAGGAAAAGGATGGGCACAGGAAGGATTCTGAAGCAATGGGAATGTCCTTTATAATTTTGTGTTAACTCATATGTAAATGTAATAAACTTTTACCTATCAAATTATATCCTATATAATAAAAGCCTAATATGCTAAGTGTCCAGTCATCCGCTTGGTCATTCAACCAATCAAAGCACAATATGCTAAGGCCACTCAACTACTCGCTATGACATGCACTGACCACCAGGGGGCAGATGCTCCAACTGGTAGGTTTGCTTACTGCTGGGATCCGGCTGATCGGGACTGAGCAAGATGGGCCAGACACACCCTGGAGCCCTCCTGCGGTCCCTTCCTGGCTGGCCAATATCCTGCGTCCTTTCCCTGCCCTGATGTGCACCGGTGGGGTACCTCAGCCTGGCCTGCGTCTTCTCGCAATCCCGGACCCTTCAGGGGATGTCAGAGAGCCGGTTTGGGCCTGACAGTGGAATGACGGGTCGCTATAATGCACACTACCACCAGGGGGCAGACGCTCAATGCAGGAGCTCCACAGGGGGAGCACCACTCAGCCAGAAGCCAGGCTCATGGCTGGCGAGTGCAGCGGCAGTGGCGAGAGCCTCTCCTGCCCCCATGGCAGTGCTAAAGATGTCCAACTGATGGCTTAGACCCATTCTCCACAGGCCTAAGCCATCAGTTGGACATCCCCCTATGCCTCCTGAACTGCGAGAGGGTGCAGGCCAGGCTGAGGGGACCCCACTGCCCCAAATCCAGGAATTTCATGCACCAGGCCTCTAGTTTTCCAGTAAAAGGAAAAAAGTAAACAAAAATCTCCTCCAAATAATGGCTGGGAGCAAAGGCTGTTTACAGTTGAAATACGATAGCACAAATGACATGATGAAATATCAGCAGAGATGCATACCAACAAAAAAAGGAAAGTGATTGGAGAATAAAAGAGCAGGGATAGTATTTATTCAATGGCAGTTCAATCCAAGATACAGAGAAAGCATCCTGGACAGAAGTGAAAGAACTTCTTAAATCAGAGACAAGCTTCCAAGGCGAGTTTCCTAAAGAAAAATGGGCACCAAGGGCAAAGTAAGCAAATGTACTGTTTCTTTGTTCAATTCTTCTTTATTTGTATATTTTTTGCTAAAAAGCTTCCATTTAAGCTAATCTCAGAAAGGAATCCATTTAAAGTTAATCGAAAGCACCCCCTTCATGCTAGAAATTTACTCTAAGAAAATGATTGTGGATTTGCCATAATGCTAACTACAAGGGTGTTAAATTAAATATTATTTATAATGGCTAAAAAAGAGAGAGAGATTTGGTTAACTATGCTCTAACCATAAAATAGCATTTGCATTTGTTAAAAGTAGTGTTAGAGGACAATATGTAAAATATTCATAGTATATTAATAAGTAGATTAAAAATATCACATACAAAAAGGTCCCATTTGGGGTTCACTCAATAAATTTACCTCATAAAATTACAAGTGGATTTTATTTCTTTACTTCTTATTTGTATTTTGAAACTTCCCATAGTTACTATATATTGCATTTGTAAATAAGATTAATGATATTTTAAAATATAATTCTAAATTACATAATAATGGTAAAAAAATATACATATTCATATTGTCAGAGGCTGGGAAAATCACATCAAAAGCAGAAATAGTAGCATTAGAATGGAGAATTATAGGTTTTTTCTTTTTACTTTTTTCAATGGTATTTATATTTAAAAATATAATGTTAAGAGCCTAAATAAAATTTTAATTATAGAATCTTGCTTAATTGATAAAATTAACTTATAAAATACTACTTAATTTCTCTTTATACATTTTTACCCAAATTCTTGCAAAGAGACCAATTTTTTATTTAATTTATATTCTACTGATAATTTTACTAATTATTTAAGCCTCTCTTCTCAAACTTTTATGTGCATATGAGACACCTAGATCTTGTTCAAATGATGATTCTTAATTAGGGGATTTGGGATAGGGCTTGTAGCTCTAAGTTCCCTGGTGATATCAATAACTTCTGGTCCAAGGGAGGATCATACTATGAGTAGCAAACATGTAAAAACACATTTACGTTCTAGCAATGTGGACTCAGGTAATTCAGAGCTGATAAAAAATCGTTCAGTCAATAAATACTTATTGGCCAAACCCTATGAATTTATCCTCTCTGTTACTGAAGGGAGAAAAGATCAAAGCATTATATTAAGGTAAACTTTAATGCATTTATTCTTTTCAAAAATTAAAAGGGCACCCAGGCCAGTGTGGCTCATGTGGTTGGGCATCATCCGTGCATAAAGGGTTGCCTGTTCGATTCCTGAAGAGGGGCCTGCGGAAGGCAGCCAATCACTCTCAGATCAATGATTCTCTCTCTTCCTCTCTCTAAATAATCAATAAACTACTCTTTTTTAAAAAAAAAAAAAAAGTGCAATGACTATAATGTAGATCATGATTTCTTATTTTCAATGAACATTCCTTTTCTTCAATGTAATTATATAAAACATCCAATCACAAGTTATGGTATCAACATGCTTTTTAATTTTTCCCCATAATATTCTCTTTCTGTCTCCCTCCCTCCCATCTTCCACCCCAACCTCTCCCTTCTCTCTCCACTTCTCTCACTCTGTCCCTCTCTCTCTCCCAGGTTATTAAATGCAAAGCAGCCATCGCCTGGGAAGCAAACAAGCCCCTTTGCATAGAAGAGGTTGAGGTAGCTCCCCCCAAGGCACATGAAGTTCGAATTCAGGTGAGTGGGGACTCTCCCTGGCAGGACACACTGGGCACTGACTAGGTGCAGACGTGGCTCTGTCAGCTCACGTCACGCCTGTGTGATGTGACTGGGAAGCCCTGCAGTTCTCAGTGTGGGCGATTGTATCTTTAGGTTCAGATACAAACAGGCCTTATCTCCAGAGGGGGTAAATCATTCGTTATTTATCAGTAGCCATTGATAATGGGCTTAAAATTTAACTAAAGCACCTTAACATTAACCATTAACCTTAAGAATCAGATTAAGGAATTCGCATTGCATTACAATTAGTTATATTTTCTTTTAGTTTTCCACTTGCCAATTATTAAAAGGGAGATAGAGAATTTGGTTCAAAACAAGGAAAAAAAACAAACAAGGGAGAGGAAAAGCTGAAGAGCTGCCGTAGGCAGCACAGGGTCTTGGGTGCAGATGAAGGGAAGGCAGTGGGTGAGCAGGGAGAAGAGCCCACGCTGAGTGGACAGGTCATCAATGGCAAGACCTGGCTGCCCAGGCTATGTTTTCCCTCCAACCTCCCCAGGAAGGGCTTATACATGAGGATGAATGGGATACCCTCATGAGCAGAATCTTGAAGAAGAATATAGAGATACAGCAGTAATTAATTTAGACCATCTTTTATTTGATATGTCACTCTTAACTATAAAATTTTTATTACCTCTATTTCACGTCATTTCAACAAAATTTGAACAAGGCCTAGAAACCTGTGTTCTCTCCATTCCTCTGCCTGTTAGACTTTGTTTAAATTTTCCCTATTGCCTTTGATTTCCCCTCTCCTGGAGACAGTAACTGCCAATTTTATCTCTTTTTATCATTTTCTAATAACAGTAAAAGGCAGAAAAGTAAAGTATAAAAGGAAAAGAATACATCTTAATATATATTATTGATTTCAGAGAGAGGAAGGGAGAGGGAGAGAGATAGAAACATCAATGATGAGAGAGAATCATGGATCAGCTGCCTCCTGCACGCCCCCTACTGGGGAACTCCAGCCTGCAACCAGGGCACATGCCCTGACTGGGAGTTGAACTTGACCTCCTGGTTTGCAGATTGTTGCTCAACCACTGAGCCACAGTGGACAGGCTACCTTGTATGTTTTTGTTTGATTTTTTTTCCCCAAGTGTTATTTCTTTTTTGAGCTCTAAGAGTGTTGTAACGTCTCCTGGTGACATTGAAATTATCCTAAAATTATCCACTTTACAACCCCAATGATATAATTACAGAAACAACTCAAGTATCTGGTTGCTTTGTAGATAATCGCCACTGCCTTGTGCCATACCGAAGCCCATATTCTCCATCCTAAATTTACGGAGGCTTTTTTCCCAGTGATTCTTGGCCATGAGGGGTCAGGAATTGTGGAGAGTGTTGGGCCAGGAGTGACCAACTGCAAACCAGGTATTGTATTTTCTCATTCCGATAAGTGGGAATGTCAGGATATTTCAGGGATAATCCTGATAGATTCCTGGCTTTGCATGCTATAGTGATCTCTGTTTCCATAAGGGACCATTTTTTCCAAAGTAAAAGTGAGAAACACAATCTATCACAGTCTAACAATGAGACAGAATACTTGAATCAGAATTATCTAGTAAAATCTGTGGAATATGGTTACTTTATTTACATACTAGAGGCCCAATGCACGAAATTCATGCAAGAGTAGGCCTTCCTTCCCCCGGCTTCGGGCACCAGCTTCTCAGGACCTGAGCTTCCCTCCAGCTGCCAGCAGGCACTTGGGTTTCACTCTCAGCCCCAGCTTCGCCCGTAAGGTCGTCCGGAAGGACCTCTGGTCTAATTAGCATATTATGCTTTTATTATTATAAATTATTATAGACTAGAGGCCCAGTGCACAAAATTTGTGCAGGGGGAGGGGGGTCCCTCAGCCCAGCCTGAAACCTCTCTAATCTGGGACCCCTCTTGCAATCCAGGATATCTGGCTCTTAATCACTCGCCTGCCTGCCTGCCTGATTGCCCCTAACCACCTCTGCCTGCCTTCCTGATTGCCCCTAACTGCTCCCCTGCTGGCCTGATCACCCCTAACTGCCTCTGCCTCTCCCAGCACCCAGGACCCAGGATTCCCTCCCTCTGGCCGGCTGCAGGCACCGAGGACCTGGGCCAGCTTTGCCCGGGCCAACCACAGCCACAGGGGACCATGGGCAGGCAGCTTCACCCAGTCCACAGCCACAGGCGCCCAGGACCACCGGGCAGGCAGCTTGTCCCTCTCCCAGCCACAGGTGCAGGCGCTGGCACCCAGGACCATGGGGTGGGCAGCTTGTTCCTCTCCTGGGCTGCAGGCGCAGCCATTGGCACCTGGGACCATGGGGTGGGCAGCTTGTTCCTCTCCTGGGCTGCAGGCGCAGCCATTGGCACCTGGGACCATGGGGTGGGCAGCTTGTTCCTCTCCTGGGCTGCAGGTGCAGCCGTTGGCACCCGGGACCGTGGGGCAGGCAGCTTGTCCTTCTCCCAAGGTACCTTAAGTGAGAAATATTATATATGCCAACGGTATCTTAAGTGTCTTTCTGGAAGTTTGAAAGATTAAAATGACATGTAAATGAAACATGCCAATGACTGAAATTATTTACTGCATATTTCATAACAGACATTCCACCCAATACTGGAATAAGGGCTCTGTAATCCTCACTTGTCAGACTGCCTTCCTTTAATAAGGATGCTCCAAACCTTGAGGTATACATATTAGTATCTTTCCATTCCAAACAAAGATCATAAAAACCAACTGCTCCTGAAAGTTTTGCAACCATGAAGGAGTCTCATTAATGTAGTCCCAGCTCTGCCACCTGCTGGCTCTGTGACCTTAGCCAGTTAAGTCATTTATCTGTGACTCAGATTTCTGTTTCTAAAGTGGGGACAATAATACTACTCTTCTCAAAGTGTTGTTCTGTGAATTAGCTGAGACACTATAAGTAAGCAGTTAGAATGGTGTCCGGCACCTACTAAATGTTAGTTATTATTGGACCTTGGTCATCAGAAGATAGAAGCCATTTTTAAATTAAAATTGAATAAAAAGTAGAAGATGTGGAACTTGAGTTCTTTATAATATTAGTTTTCTGCTTTATTTGGAGTAAAACAAATAGTGAAACACGATGATTGTGTGACATTGACTCTCTATATCTGACCTATCACTGTCCACCTCTCCTTTTATATGAGGATGTCCTATTCCTCATATAAAATGTAATAAATAATAGTCATGATGGAGAGAGCTACACGGAGCAGTCTTAGGTAGGACTCTTCACCTGATGGTATCAGTACAGACTTGTTGCTTGACTGCCCAGCAGGGAAAAATGAAAAAGTAATACAAGGAGAAGTCAGCAATCTTATAGAGTAATAAAATGTTTTGCCACCTATACTCTGTTGAACATAACATGTATACCCTAAGGAATGGTGTTTTCCACTGATTCATCTGGTAGAAATTATTTATAGGTAACGTTTACAAGTAACGTTTATAGGCAACCAACATATGACCTTTCTTTCTAGGTGACAAAGTGATTCCTCTCTACATGCCTCAATGTAAAAAATGCAAGTTCTGTTTGAGTCCACTCACAAATTTCTGTGCAAAACTCAGGTAAGCTCTACACACTGTTAGTGAGAGTATAAGTTGGTACCAATATTTTGGGCAGTACATTGGCAAAACATAAATGGAGTTGAAGGTGTGCATATTTCTACCCACCAAATCTACTCAGGTGAGTGCAAGGAACTGTTGCAAAATCACCCCGGGAGACATGTGCTAGAATGTTCATTGCAATATTGTTTATTACAGCAAACTATTCAAAAGAGCACAAATATCCTTCAATAAGAGAATAGGTTAACACAGCGATTTTCAACCTTTTCCATCTCATGGCACACATAAACTAATAACTTAAATTCTGTGGCACACCAAAAATATATATTTGTGCTGACGTGACAAAAAAATGTATAGGTATACTTTTCAGGGTGGGGGGGGGACATATGTAATACTTTCAATAATAAAGAATTATTATATTATAAATATATATAATTTTGACTTAGTCACACCAGTCAGCTATTGTTGTATTGGCTGTTGCCATTTTTTTATTCAACAATCTAAGGTAAAAAGGTCAGTGCCCCTGACTAAATAGTCAGGTGTTGCAGGTTTTAAAAACTTTTGCAGCACACCAATGTACCACAGCATAATGGTTTAAAATCACTAGATTAACAAATTGCTATGTAATAACACAATAGAATACTATTTAACTACAAAAATGGCTAAACTCGATCTATATGTATCAGCATAGAATACAGTATTCCCCCTTACCTATGGCTTCACTTTCCAAGGTTTCCGTTTCCCATGGTAAACTGTGATCTGAAAATATTAAATGGAAGAATCCCGAAATAAACAGTTCATAGTTTTAAAGTGCATGCCATTCTCAGTAGTGGGATTTCATCCAACCCCATCCCATCCCTAAAGTGAATCATCTCTTTGTCCAGCTTATATGCCCCCAGCTCATTAGTCACTTAGTAATCATTTTGGTTATTAGATCCACCACCATAATATCTCTGTGCCTCTGTTCAGGTAATCCTTATTTTACTTAATAATGGCCCCAGAGTGTAACAGTAGTAATGCTGGTGATTCATATATGCCAAAGGGATTTGGCAAAGTACTTCCTTTAACTGAAAAGGTATGTACATTTGGGGGTGAAACTATATATATAGGGTTCAGTACTATCCAAGGTTTCAGGCATCCACTGGAGGTCTTGGAACAAATCCCACAGGGATAAGGGGGGGACCACTGTGACCTCACACAAATAACGTTGAGAGAAAGAAGCAAGTCGCTGACAGATATATTTAGTAAGGCGTCACACAAAAACAATATCATATATTGTTTATGGTTACATGTGTATTAGTAAAGGTATAAATACATCACTGGAATGATACATGCCAGATTCAGCATAGCAGCTACCACTACGGAAGAGGACAGAGGCATGCAATGAGGCACAGTAAAGCAATTTATCCCAAGGCCACATAGGTATGTCTTAGGACTAAATTTTGAATCTAGGCCATTAGCTGCAGAGTCCAAAAATGTTAATCACTTTATTCGTTACTGTCCTGAGACTATAGAAAGGTTCATTTGTCCTTAATGCTAACTGACACTAGCTATGGTACTACTCTTACATCTATTACTGTACCTCAATTTCCTCATCAATGAGATGGGGATAGTACTGCTGCCTATTTCACAGGGCTGTTGCAGATGTTCAAAGAATCAATAGATGCTTTTACAAACCTTTAATTCAATAACAAATTCAGATAACGACCATCAATTCTTTCTGACATCACAAAAAGACAGATAAGGTATGTGCCTCTAGATGAAAACATACACCACCTATGAAGTACTCCTACAAAAATTTAAAACCCAAATCAGACCAAGCATTTAAATAAAAGAAGCTAGAGGAAATTTAGGGATGGAGAAACACGTTAAACCAGATTACAGCAATGTAATCAGAAAAATCCAGAATGAGGAAAATTAAACTGCAAGGAAAAAAACAAGGGGGGAGGTGAGAATCTGTCAATTAAAAGGGATATAAGAAACGTATCCAACTAGATGCCATGCGTGGAGTTAGAACAATCTTTATCTTTTAGAGATACATGCTGAAATATTTACAATGAAATAGTGATGTCTGGGATTTCTTCAAGATAGTCCACAATAGGAATAGAGTAGGTGGTGGTGTTGAAGGATGTAAGTGAATTATAGATGACACTAGATCAACCATGAGTTGTTAATTGCTGAAGCTGGGAGATGCTTACATGGAGGTTCATTCTGCTATTCTTTCTACTTTTGTATTTGTTTGAATTTTTCATAATAAATTTTTTAAAGAATCAATACATGGTTTGGAAACAGCCTAAGTGCCCATCAGCAGATGAGTGGATTAAAAAAACTGTGGTACATCTACACAATGGAATACTATGCCGCTATAAAAAGAAGGAACTTTTACCATTTGCAGGGGCATGGATGGAACTGGAGAGCATTAAGCTAAGTGAAATAAGGCAGTCAGAGAAAGATAAATATCACATAATCTCACTCATAGTGGGATATAATGATCAACATAATTTGATGAACTGTTGGGGTCCAGCCCCAGCAGGTCCAGGGGTTCCCAAAGGTGTGGACGGAGTCGGCGAAGAAGGAATGACACGGAGGCAGCGTTCAGTTGACCAGCATGGTTGAGTTCTCTCGCCTGGTTCTATCCAGGATTTCCAGCCAGGTTCTGTGTTTATTGTCTTGTTACATCTGTATTCATACCAGTTGATTTTAATCCTATCAATTCTATTCCAAAGGTTAGGGCGTTTCTTATCTCCATTCCCTGGTTACTCTATTGTTCTATTAAGCTACAAGGAAGTAACTGAAGGAGATTATCCTAAGTAAAGATTATGTAGTTTAAGCGTGATTGTTCATAGTTAAAGTGATTAATTACCCTCCTGGCACTTAGTTAAAGGTTTCATTCCCTCCCTAACTCTAGGGAAAAATCCCTGGAAACAACCTTTCTCGGAGAGGTGACCTTGGTTAAAACACATAGTGCTAAGAAGGGGAGCAAACATATTAAGAACAGTATGCCATATACGCCAGGTCCCTTGAAACATATGCTGTGCAGATGTTTCTTCCCTGCAGCAACTGTGTCAAGCAGCAAGGATGGACCAGCTTCCGGCAATAAACAAGAATAGATCCAGAGACAAATGGCGGGGGCGGGGGGGTAGAAAGCAACCAAAGGACTTGTACACAGGCATATTAGCATAATCAATGGACACAGACACTGGGGCGGTGGGGGCTTGCTCAGGGTGAGAATGGCTGGAGGGAAAGGGTCAATTGGGGAAAAAAGAGACTCATGTAAAACTTTAGACAATAAAAAAATTTTAAAAAGAATCAATATATGGTGCTCACTTCAGCAGCACATATACTAAAATTGGAACAATACAGAGAAGATTAGCATGGCCCTTGCGCAAGGATGACACACAAATTCATAAAGCGTTCCATATTTTAAAATTTTTTTAAATAAATAAAAAAAAGAATCAATACATGTAAAGCTCTTAAAAGAGTTTCTGGCACATAAAAAATATTCAATAAAGAGTTTACTGTTACATCGTTATTATCTTCAGATGACTCCTGTTATGTCTATTTTATTATATCCTATATTATAGATGTTATTTATGTAATAGTTTATATATTATTTATATTATATATTTACTATATATTATGGTATATTATGTATAATAAGTATATAAAAATTATGTGTTACTTACATGATATATAAATACAAAATTTATTTTATATTTAAGCAAAGTGTCCAAGTCATTTTCTCAATTTCTTCATATCATAAAAGTATGTCATAACTAATTCACAATGTCTAACTTTAATTTCAGGAGAGTAATCAGAGATACATTTATTTTCTCTTTTTCATATCTTTTTTAAAATTCTCTAGTCCATCCAAAAGTCCTCTTGTTCAGCAAGAACTAATGGAAGACAAAACCAGCAGGTTTACCTGCAAAGGAAAACCAGTTTACCATTTCATGGGGATCAGTACCTTCTCTCAGTACACTGTCGTATCAGATACTAATCTGGCCAAAATAGATGATGATGCAAATTTAGAGAGAGTCTGTCTGCTTGGATGTGGGTTTTCAACTGGCTATGGAGCTGCAATCAACACTGCCAAGGTAAAATCGTTCATCACCACGTTCTATAAAACAGAAGTTATTAGGGGGCAGCGTGATAAAGCAGCTAGGGTTATCTTCAAACCCTGGTTCTGTATTTATCATCTCTGTGATTTTAGGCAAGTTATCTAACCTCTTCTACTTCTGTATAATAATATCTATTACAAATTACTGTGGGAAAACTAAATTGTATTGCATATGTAAGACATCTGGCCCGGTGGGTGACACATAGTTGGCACCCAATTCATGTCCATTTATTTTCCTATACTAGTACGTTATATTGTAGGTCAGCCCTAATTAAATAACAGCCTGCTCAAATATGTCCCCTAAACATGATCCTCATCCTGAGACAGCAGACCCAGTCAGGAGAGGATACAAAGTGCAGAGGCCCCACCCACCTCCACATGGCCACGCCTACTTTCTCCCTGATGCACACAGGGATGCTACTCTTGGCCTCCCTCTGAAACATCACTTTTTCATTCGTTCTCTCACTCATTAATAAAAATTAAAAGTTGTATGGGAAGCCAAACTATAATATGCAAGCTCCTGGAGGAGAAAGGTGATAGTTGGGTGGAGTTAACAGCCTAGGTGACCTTGGCAGTCAAGGCATATTCTCCTATAGATGGCATTGGATTCTCAGGGAGGAATTATTGCTCTTTGGGCTACACACATCCCCTTTTCTGGACACCATGCAGACTCTCACCCTCTACTACTGTAATCTTTCTTCAGGAATATTAACACTAGAGATTCAGCTACAGTTTACTTTTTTATATATTTATATATTTCTTTATTGATTTCAGAGAGGAAGGAAGAGGGAGAGAGAGAGAGAAACATCAATGATAAGAGAGAAGTATTTATCAGCTGCCTCCTGCACGCCCCCTACTGGGGATCGAGCCCGCAACCCAGGTACAGTGGGGTCTTGACTTACGATTTTAATTCGTTCCGTGACGGAGCTCGTAACTCAAATTACTCGTATGTCAAATCAATTTGACAAATCAATTTGCTGGGCTGATGTTGTGGCGTTCACTGTGACGTTCACTGTGCCAACTAGCGGTGGGGTATCTGAAGCTGGCTCGTAACCCAAATTTTAGCTCGCAACTCAAAGCAAAAAATCAGCCGAGAGATGGCTCACATCTCAAAAAACTCGTTAGTCGGGACACTAGTAAGTCAAGGCCCCACTGTATGTGCCATTGGCCGGAATCGAACCCGAGACCCTTCAGTCCGCAGGCCGACACTCTGTCCACTGAGCCAAGCAGGCCAGGGCTACAGTTTACTTTTAAGTGTAGTCAAAGTTGATCTAAATTCCCATGACATGTTCTTCCTGCTGTTGAGGAACAGCTAAACCCTCAGGAGGTGCTCAAAGAAGGAAAATAACTCATAGGACCACGTAAAGGGACGTGAAATGTCAGTATTTCTAGATAAAAGGCAAGACCCTTACTAAGGCTTAATTTACTTCTGGGAAAAAAAAGTGATGCAACTGCTCTGTGTAATTATTGGGGATCTTCCACAGCATGGCAGCCCCTGATTTGTTTTAATGTCCTTGTATCATTTACAGCCAAATTAATCACATTTCATGGATATCTTTGGAAGTATGAAAGTGCCCTGTAACAGTGTTGCCTGGAGATAGAAAATCAAAGGGGGAGAGGGTATTTTATAGTGACTGCCCCAGTACTGCAATCAAAAGCACTTTTACTCTCAGGGGTCTGGTTATATAACACAATCAGTGCAGTGTATTCAATTTATGCACTATTGTGAGCTGGCATGAGAATCCAACTACTGAGTACAACATTGTACAATGGGGAAAATGCTGTTCTACTCTCCATGAGACTTTCAGGTGAGCTTTTTAGACAGTCTCTGGAGAAGTATACTTGGAAATAAACTAAACACATGCCACAATATTATAGTAAATAGTACAGAATGTATATAAAACATTATTCTGAATATTTACAAATATATTTTTATTTCCCCTGAAAAGCAAAGGCTATTCTATACAGACCCAATATCATGCATAAAGTGAGAGATGCCACTTCTCTTAGTAATTTTGTTCCCAATACATCTCATAGGCAGATTTTCTTCTTTCCCTTTTGTTTATGCTTTAATTTTAAAAGTTTCCCATCATCATGAGAAAATAGTAATAGTAAGCATCTCTCTATGCAGGTTCTTTGGGGGATTTTTTGCCACTATCTCACCAGTTGGCACTGCCTTCTGATTAAAGAATCAAAAAATATTTTGTGGGGAGAGTGTTATTTAAGTCAGACCAAAAATATAAGGTGAAATGAGGTGAATGAAATAAGGTGAAAAGTATAGCAGGCTGAAGGAACAGCATGAACTAAGACATGAGGAAAAGAAAGTAAGACAGTGTGTTGTGGCCATAGTACTGAGAATACCATGGAGATGAAATCAGGAGGCAACAGGTGTCAGATAATAAAAATCCTCCAATACCATGTAAGAAAATTTGGATCTCTTCCATTTACATAATTTAATAATTGGGATGACTGAGTTAACTCACATTTAGAGCAATATAGTGGTCATCAAAACTGTAACATTAACACAACCAAATAAGGCCTATTAGAAATATAGACATCAAATTACTTGTGATCCACTTAAAAGGCCAAACAATAAACCTTTTACAGAGTGTGAGCTTTCAGATTTTGTTCTGATACCACTAATTGGGAAATGAAAACAAGGAAATGATTTCCTTATAAATTGATTATCTGAATGGCCCTCAAATGATTCTTCAAGTTTAGTCCGTGATTCATTCATTTTTACATTGGTAAATTTCCCACAAGTGGCTAAATCCCTTAGTCTTATGACAGGCAGTCCTTTATATGTTCCTGCCCCCACCTCACTCTGTACCTTTAAAAAGGGGGGACCAGCTCATTTAACTTATGATTTTCCTGCCTGCAGGTTACCCCAGGTTCTACTTGTGCCATCTTTGGCCTGGGAGGTGTCGGCCTTTCTGCTTTAATCGGTTGTAAAGTAGCAGGAGCTTCCAGAATCATAGCTGTTGATATCAACAGTGAGAAGTTTGCAAAGGCCAAAGCTCTTGGAGCCACTGACTGCCTCAATCCTAGAGACCTACAAAAACCCGTCCAGGAGGTCATCATTGAAATGACCGGTGGGGGTGTGGATTTTGCACTTGACTGTGCAGGTGGATCTGAAGCCATGGTATGTATGTTTTTTATATTGGTACATAGTAAGTAATATTTCTCAACATTAATAAACATTGACAGTATGTATCCTATCTAATAAAGTGGGAATATGCTAATTGACCCTCACACCATCGCAAAGATGGTGGTGCCCACAGCCAATAAGGAGGGAATATGCTAATTGACTGCCCCACCCTCAAAGATGGCAGTGCCCACAGCCAATAAGGAGGCAATATGCTAATTGAATGTCATGCCCTCAAAGATGGTGGTACCCACAGCCAAAAGATTGCGGCAACCAGTCCCCTCAGCCCCGCCATGCACCTGCCTCCAGAGTCCCCCAGTCCCCTCAGCATCCCTGCCACCCAGGGCCTGCCTGAGGAGCAGGTAACCAGGACCAGCCAAGGCTTGTGCTTCCAGCAGGGCAGCAGCAGAGGTCTGATGGGGGCGTCACCTTCCCCTGATTGCCAGGTCACCTCCCACCCCTGAGGGCTCCCAGACTGTGAGAGGGGGCAGGTTGGGCTGAGAGCATGAATTTTCATGCACCGGGCCTCTAGTATATTAATATATTTATTCACTTTATAGTCAATATTAACATATTTGTATATACATAAATTATGTTTATATAATAATCAATGTTTATTAATAATATATTGGATATTATGTAGTGTGTTATAATTGACATTTAACCTATTAATAAATATTACAGATTACTACTTAATATTAATGTTATTATTACTTGTTTATTCTTCCACATGAAATTCAGAGAAAATTTAGAAGTGAAAATTTTTAAGGAATTGTGCCTGCAAGAAGTGAGCAAAACAATGAGAACAGGAAAGGCAGACTTAAAGGAGGAGCAAGAGAATGTGGCTGGTGTCACCCTAACAGCCTGAGGTAGCCACTCCCATCAAAAAGCAAAGCAGGGAGAGGCCAGCAATCTACACACAATCCATTCTGTCTGCCAGACCTCATAAAGAGACTGCAAAATTAGGTCCAAAGTAAATATTGAAATTTTTAATATATTAAATACACACCTGCTGCAAAATTAAAAGTAAATATTTTCCTCGCAAACACTACCGTTTTGTATCATTCAGGTTTCCTCTACTCTCAGGTCGGGCTCCCTGACTTGAAGGGCCTGAGAAGCTACCTCTGTCTAGTCCAGTGATGGCGAACCTATGACACACGTGTCATAGGTAACATGCGAACTCATTTTTTTCGTTGATTTTCTTTGTTAAATGCCATTTAAATATATAAAACAAATATCAAAAATATAAATCTTTGTTTTACTATGGTTGCAAATATCAAAAAATTTCTATATGTGACACGGCACCAGAATTAAGTTAGGGTTTTTCAAAACGCTGACACACCGAGCTCAAAAGGTTCGCCATCGCTGGTCTAGTCTGTTCTCCTTAGAATGGGCAGAGCCACCCCCACAGGCAACAGATGGACCAGTAGACTTGCCAGAGAGCCCAGCATCTTGTTACATCTTCACTCAGCCTGGCCCCTAACACCCTCCTCTAGGGAAGGTTTCATAATAAAAGTCTATGCCTCCACCAGGAGCTGGCTTTGCAGGTTCTTCCCCCTGGTGCTCACCTGACTGGTGAGTGCCCCAGAAGAGTGGAGACCAGCAAGAGCTGCTGAGAGGAGCAGGCTGCCCCTCCCAGAATAGTTCCACTGTAGTAACAACTGTTTGAAAGAGGATCTGTGAGGTAAATGTTAGCTCTTCCTGAAAACTCATTCATCAGCAGCTCCTGGTCCTGCAGTGCTTCTGTGTCAGGCCCTGCTTTTCACATTGTCCTTCTCACCTGCAGTTTGCAATGTGCCACATCCATTCATTCCTACTCTTTCCACAGCTCAAATTTTTTACAAACATTGAAATTCAGCCTCTTTACCTTATTTCCAGAGCACAGATATTCCCAACACTCGCTACTTTATAAGTGCCTGGAGCGTTGTTGTTGGTTAGGACCAGTGAAATGACCACACCTTAGACATTCTCATGAGTTGGGGGCCCAGGTACCAATATATTTTACAAGTTTCTCAAGCTAAGAACCACTGTCGTGAAACTTGGCAGTTTCTTTTATTAACTGATTATACCAAGAAATTCATTTTAAATTATGGAATAAAATTACACTAGAGAGCCCAAATTTTAAAAGATATCATTTATTTAATTGCAAAAAGATGAGCTAGCTACCTATCCTTTTACCAAAAGTTTCTGTAACTGGGGAAGTTAAATTTCTGAATTGTAGAGGAGATTTCAGTAATGGCTATGAACTAGATTTCAATGACCTCTCATGTTCTTAAGCAGCCAACAGAACTGAACAGAACAATTAGAAAGCTGCAATAATTGACAATTTATAAGATTTTGAGAATTCAAAATAATTCTGATCAAAAGTTATCAGAGGATACTAAATAAAACCCTGAACTTGCATATAATGCCCATTGAACTAAGTCATCATTATAGAGGTTAATTCTTTGCTTGGAGCAAACTTCAGAAATGTAGAAAAAGCAATAGGAAAAACATTTTTTTAAAAAACAGAAATCCATGTAAGCAGCTACCTTAAGGTGACCAGTAGTACCTAGTATTCTTTTCCCCTCAACATGAATCTATGTCATATATATAAACAAAAATGGTTTTACCATATAAAAATTGTAAAAAGGAGAAAAGTTTATATTCAGAAATGTTACAAATTCTCAAAACAATAAATAAGCACATAATCAAATGAAAATTTCAAAACATATTCTTAAGGTTATAGATGGTTGTATCTTCTGTCACTAGTAAGACACACAGAGAAAGAGAAGATGGAGAGAATTTACTGCTCTTCAAATTCCTTCTTTCATATAATGATCAGGGATGAAAAAGAACTGTACTTCCTGTTGGAACTGCCCCAACAGGTCAGAATCAAGTTGCCCCCTGACTATGGCAATGGGATATTGCCGGGAGCCGGTTCATCCTTGCTGTTTCAAGGGACCTGGCATATATGGCATACTGTTCTTAATATGTTTGCTCCCCTTCTTGGCGCTATGTGTTTTAACCAAGATCACCTCTCCGAGAAAGGTTGTTTCCCCAGGTAGGGATTTTCCCCTGAAGTTAGGGAGGGGATAAAACCCCTTAACTAAGTGTCAGGCGGGTAGTTAATCACTTTAACTACAAACAATCACGCTTAAGCTACATAATCTTTACTCCCTGGAATGGAGATAAGAAACGCCCTAACCTTTGGAATAGAGATTGATAGGATTGGAATCAACTGGTATAAATATAGATGTAACAAGACAACAGCACACAGAACCTAGAGACAGAACCTAGCAAGAAAACATGGCAAGGGAACCTGACCAGAACCTGGCTACAGAACTTGGCTGGAGAACCTAGACAGAACATGGCGGGAGGACCTGGATTGAACCTGGCAGCTGAACCTGGCCAAAGAACCTAATGAGAGAACATAAAAAGAGAACCTAGAGACAGGACTTGGCTGGAGATCCTAGACAAAACCTAGAGACAGGACTTGGCTGGAGATCCTACACAGAACCTAGAAACAGAACCTAGCAAGAGAACCTGGCTGAAGAACCTAGAGACAGAACATGGACACAGAACCTGGCTGGAGAACCTGGAGAACCTAGCAAGAGAACATGGCACCAGAACTTGGTTGGAGATCCTGACCAGAACTTGGTTGGAGTTCCTAACCAGAACTTCGCTGGAGATCCTGGAGGGAGAACCTTGCTATGCTGATGAACTGAACCCAGTTTCCATGTCATTCATTCTTCGCCGACTCCGTCCACACCTTTGGGGATCCCTGGACCCGTTGGGGTTGGACCCCAACAGGATATGACACAAAGTTTACATTTCTCTTCTATAATACTAGTCTCCAAACATTTTAACTGTTTCTCTAGTTACCATTGGGCATCTAAGCGGAATGGCCAGCCACAGTTTATGTCTTTCTTAAACTTTCTTAAACTTTTCATTTACATTTTCAATCCTTGGGAGTTTTATCCTCATCCCAAACTTGCAGTAGGCTAAGGTAACAATGTTCTCTCTTTCTCTCATGCAAACATCAATGCAACTCCTCCAAACCACTGTTTTCCATGTTGTGAGTCACCCGTCAAGGAAGTTCAAATAGCCGAAACCGGTTTGGCTCAGTGGATAGAGCGTCGGCCTGCGGACTGAAAGGTCCCAGGTTCGATTCCGGTCAAGGGCATGTACCTGGGTTGCGGGCACATCCCCAGCAGGAGATGTGCAGGAGGCAGCTGGTCGATGTTTCTCTCTCATCGATGTTTCTAACTCTGTATCTCTCTCTCCCTTCCTCTCTGTAAAAAATCAATAAAATATCTTTAAAAAAAAAAAAAAAAGGAAGTTCAAATATGTGACTTCACAATCTCAACATGAGGTCCTCTTGGTTGTTGTAGCGGGAGAAGGGACACCTGGCAGGCTGCACACTGGCTTTTCTGTTTAGGCCAAGAAATGGCACATCACTTCTGCCCAAAGCCCACTGGCCAGAACTGGTCACATAAGTCCTGCAGAGAGCTTTAAAAAATGTAGGGAAGCAAATGAAATGTTTCATGAGCAGCAGCCAGCGTCATTTTAACTGTTTTGCCCTCTATTTTAAATGGCTTTTATTTTCATTTATCCTACATAGAGATCCACTAACTTTACAGTATATGCCTCATCCCAGGCTCTAGTGAATAATCACCCTCATCTCATGACTTTAAAGATTTTTATTCTATGCCCCTGAAATGGCAAACGTTTTATAATACACCCTTGGTAAATAGTCAAAAGTATGTTCGTTTGAGTTTAGAATATCTTCTATAGACCATTCTTAATTTCATGGGGGTGAATTTTTCTTAGTATACAATGATATATGTCATAGATTCACTATAATTATGATGTTGAACAAGATGAAATAATATATTCTGTTTCTTTCTAATATCCTTTTTTATTTTTTAAATATATTTGTATTGATTTCAGAGAGGAAGGGAGCAGGAGAGAGAGATAGAAACATCAATGATGAGAGAGAGAATCATTGATTAGCTGCCTCCTACAACCTGGCCATGTGCCCTGACTGGAAATCGAACCCTGACCTCCTGGTTCATAAGTCGATGCTCAACCACTGAGCCATGCAAGCTGGGTCTAATATCCCTTTTGAAAAAGCTCAAAATTTTATTGAATGTTCTATCCGAAGCAAAGCCTCAGGCGTCAGTCTACAACACTATGACCTCATGTGCTTGACTCCCTTTATTTCATATGCAGAGTGTATAAATTGTCCCTGAAACACAGTACATAGTCACACTTTCTACTTACTCAGCTGGTATTTTTTGTTTGACCTTCCAGAGAGCAGCCCTGGACTGCACAACAGTAGGTTGGGGATCGTGTACTCTCATTGGAGTAGCCATTGGTGACAAAGGATTGACTGTTTCTCCAACAGAGATACTAATGGGCCGTACTATCAATGGAACGTCATTTGGTGGTCAGTTGTGCTTTTTCTGTTCATTTTCTCCATAATAGTACTCAAATTGAAATGAAAATAATTTGTTTAAATGCTGAGTACCTAAAATACATCTAAAAACTACAGGAACGCTATTCTAATAATTACTTGAAAGTAAACAGTTTGTATAGTAGGAATACTACAACTTGCAAATAGAAGTTCAATTTGCATTAAAATAAACCAACAGAGAGAAACAAAAGTCAAACTTGGACTAAACAGAGATAATTTCTTATGCAGAAATATAAATAATCTTGAATTTTTCCTATGAATAAAAAATTTAAGGGAGATAAAAATAAAGAAAAAATAAATATGAGAGGGAATTTGATCTATTTGGAGGAAGCCAAATCTGACCAAATAATTTCATTCATTCAACAATGATTAATCTACTTGTTCATCATTCAACAATGATTCTTTATTAGGACTTTTGGCCAAATTACAGGTTACAAGGGTAGAGATTCAATCCCAAAGCTGGTTACTGATTACAAGAATAAGAAATTCAACCTGGATGCACTGGTGACCCACACCCTGCCTTTTGACAAAATCAATGAGGCATTTGACCTAATGCACCAAGGAAAAAGGTAAATTACCAAACAGAAGGGTAAGTGGTTTGAAAAACCTTTATGATGACTCTATTTTATTTGATGTTTAAATCTAATCCGTTTCTTTCCTGACGTTTTTCACATCATCAGACATACTAGAGGTGCTTAAAAGATGAAATAGTGGCCATTTGGGGGGGAAACCCCAACATTACCTACATTCCTACTCTGTTTCCATAATGTACACTGCCATACACTGTTCCAACATAGAGGGTGGCATAAGTTGACATATTTTCTTTCACAGACAATCATTAACTCAGTTGGGGCTGCTCCCTACGAGAGAGGTTTCTATACTATAACATCAGGTCCCTCTGGTACACATAGCCCGGCTCTGGAATCACTATGTTTGACAGAGTGCACCCTGCAGGCCCTTCTTTATCAGAATCAGGTGAAAACCACAGAGATGTGAGCAGGGAGTGGCAGGTATCAGATACTTAAAGGATGTCCCAACTCTCTCGTCCTCTTGCTTTGTCAGAGGTCTCCTCTAAGAGACATCCGACCTACAATTTTAGCTGTAGTGTGCTCCCTTGCCATGAACCCTGAGAGCCGATTGATAGAACTGTCCCAACTGGGGGATCCCTAGCAATGGGGAGTGGATAAGACTGGGATCAGTGATTATTGTTAAATGATCAAGCATAGCCCTGATCAATAGCAACAAAGGGCAGGACACCAGGAACAATGTTGCACAGAGGAGACTCAGGACAAAAGAGCAAAGAAAAGAAAAGACATTACAAAAGGGGGGTGGGGGACCTAGAGTTAGTTGGCAGGGGTTTGACGCAGAGAAGCAATGTCACAAAAGAAGAAAATAGGTCCATGGTGTGAGGACACAGGATACTTCACAGGATAGAAACCTGAGAAAATGTGCCTAGTGACTGACATGAACTCCCTAATTTGAAACATGTTAGCTACAACATTCAATAAAAATAAAAGAGATAAACATGCCCTGGCTGGTTTGGCTCAGTGGATAGAGTGTCGGCCTACAGACTGAAGGGTCCCAGATTTGATTCCAGTCAAGGGCACATGCCTGGGTTGAGGGCTCGATCCCCAGCGTGGGGCGTGCAGGAGGCAGCCAATCAATGATTCTCTCTCATCATTGATGTTTCTTTCTCTCCCTCTCCCTTCCTCTCTGAAGTCAATAAAAATTTATTTTTTTTAAGGAGAGATAAACATTATTTTTAAGGTATGCTAAGTAACTTAGTGTATCTTGCACATTCTCAAAATCCTTGTATTCCTCAAATGAGGAATTGGTTGGGTTTGGGGCCTTGGAACCTGGTGCTCATAACTCCTCCACCACTACCAATTGTCCCTGGATTCTCAGTCATAGAATATACCCAACCAAGAATGCTAAGTGGCAGCCAAATTCAAAATGTTGCATTGCTTTAGTAATAGCTGGTCAAGTCTCCCATATTCTAAAAACAGGCCTGGTAATCACTGGTAGAATGGAGGGCTATGGGAAACACCTACATGAGGCCTCCTACTCCCTCTTGTCCACTGAGAAGACCACCTGACTGCCTGACTGCAGTTGGGGGCGATAAGGCCTGCAGGGGAGGGCCATTGGGGGTGACCAGCGATGCAGGGGAGGGCAGTTGGGGGGGACCAGGCCTGCAGGGGAGGGCAGTTGGGGGGACCAGACCTGCAGGGGAGGGCAGTTGGGGGGGACCAGGCCTGCAGGGGAGGGCAGTTGGGGGCAACAGAGCAGGCAGGCGATGGGCCCTCCCAGGTGTGCTTACCACATGGGTACAGGAAACACAGGAAACACAATGGAGGACAGGCCCTCTTGGCATGCCAACTGCATAGAAGCAGGAAGTGGGGAGAGGAGATGGGATACACCAATTGGCCTATTAAGGTGCAGTGACCCCGACTCATGGTGAGGAGAGGACACAGACCCTCCCCCCCCCCCCCCACAGGGAGGTGGCTGAAAGCATTTATGCATGGCAGTAAAATCCAAGATAGGGAATTCTCTGTCCTTAAGCCTTACCCCCCATCTTGCTAGTACCTATGGAAGGACTTATTCAAGAATTGCAATATTTGGATTCTCAGAAAGTAGCACCCCAACACACCAACCACCTCCTTTTGATGCCCAATTTGCCCTCGGCTACAGGATTATTCCAAGACGAAAACATCACTACAACATGTCATGCTCTACTTCTCCACAGCACCACTAGGCAGCCAAGTCCTCACCCGGGGGCAAGTGAGGTCCCCAATTCTCTCCCAGCTTATTGGCATCATATATAAAGTTTTATTAGTGCCAGGAATAAAGGAGGATAACAAGATAAAAGAACTTAGGCTTACCAAATTGTGTGTCTATAAAGAAAGATTAAATCAAATCCCAAAAGGATAAAACAAAAATTATTTGTGAGTTTTAGATAAATGTATTGTGAATATTGTACTGATTTTTTTAAATATAATTATTAACAGCATTCGAACAGTCCTGACCTTCTGAAGAAGCCAGGAACAATTTGGAAGACTATCTGCCTGAATCTGAACCTGATAATCTGGTTAATTTATAACCTGATATGATGAACCAAAGATCACCATGAATTTAAATAAATATTTACAGTTAACATCTCAACATCAAATAGCTATAAAGATTATAGCATTTGTAGTAAAATACAGTAATAGTTCCTGCGTTAAGTAACTATAATAACTGATGTGTTTATTAATAAAATTGTTTAAAAACTAGTTCTGGAGAAATGGTAATAAAGAATAAAGAGGTAATAACTAGATTAGCTACACATTCACAATATTTTAGGTTGGGTGATACATATACGGGGTCTCAGTACACTGCTCTACTTTTGAATATGCTGCACATTTTCCATAATAAAAAATTTTACTAGAAAAAAAATTACATGTATATGTACAAAAAGTATATATATCTTTAAAGTATATATCACATATATGTAATGCTGTTATGTAATTTCAGAGTTCAAATAAACTATGAGCTACTCTTATTTAACAAACTGCTAAATAATTTCCTTTTTAACATCTGTTCATTTATTTTTATTAGCCCCACTTTACCTCTGTGAATTATAATCACAAGTAGTAGGATATTAGAAGCTATATAAATAAAAAACATGACGTTGAAGATTTTTTAAAAGTAAAAACACATCTAACTCTCAAATTTCCATCTTTACTAGATAATTGCTTTTTTCATCTTTGATAATTATTATAGCACTAGAGGCCCATCTGTGCACCAGTGGGGTCCCTCAGCCTGGGCTGCGGGGATCGGGCTGAAACCAGCTCTCCGACATCTGCCAAGGGATCCCAGATTGCGAGAGGGCCAGGCCGAGGAACCCCGCTGGTGCACAAATCTGTGCACTGGGCCTCTAATATGCATATAAGATCTTTGGTTAATCTCTTCCTGCCCTCCCCGCTCCCCCCTTCCCTCTGAGATTCATCAGTTTGTTCCATATTTCCATGCCTGTGGTTTCTGCTTCTGCATTGAGCATCTGCTCCCTGGTGGTCAGTGTGTGTCATAGTGACTGGCCGGTTGGCCAGTCGGCCGGTCAGTTAGCTTTTTATATATCTACTAGAGGCCCGATGTATGAAATTCGTGCATGGATAGGGTCCCTAGGCCTGGCCCGCAATCAGGGCCGATCTGTGGGGCGACCAGTGCGGCGATCGGGGCCCCCGCTGGCACCCACCTTGGCTGGCCTGGGGCCTGTAGGCTGGGGGCAGCTCCTGTGTTGAGTGTCTGCCCCCTGGTGGTCAGTGTGCATCATAGCGAATGGTCGTTCCACCAGTTGTTCCACTGGTCATTACCCCTTTCAGTCAATTTGCCTATTAGGCTTTTATTATATAGGATATATATAAAAGGCTAATACGCCAAGTGTCCCTCCTACTGTCCAACCGGTCGCTATGATGTACACTGACCACCAGGGGCAGATGCTCAATGCTGGAGCTGCCAAGCTGCAGTGACTTAGCAACAGCTGTTGTCGGGTGATGCACCCTGAAACCAGAGAGGAGGGAGCCCGATTCCTCAAGGGGCTGTGCGACTCCACCTTTGGTCGTGGGTTATGTTGTTGCTGAGGCACTGATGGCCCCAAATCTGGTTTGCTGCACCTGTGCATTTGTGTTCCACACCCTGTATGACAGCAACTTTGCAGAGTGCCCTCTTGCACTCCAGGACCCCTTGGGGGATGTCAGAGAGCCGTTTCAGCTGGACCCCCGCAGGCCAGGCCGAGGGACCCCACCTGCTGAAAGGACCCCGCTCACTCCACAGACGCTGGGGAGGGACCGCAGGAGGTTGGCTCCAGGGTGTGTCTGGCCCATCTCGCCCAGTCCCATCCTGCCAGCCACCTTCTAATTAATTTCCTTTCAATGTACACAAATCCGTGCACCAGGTCACTAGTATAGATATAATGTTTAGAGCTTTATGAAGTTTAATGATCTGTAATTTGCACTAAGTAATCTATTTTCTGCAGTCAACTAAAAGTGAAAAAAAGCAATGTACTTACAATAAACTAATTAAGCAGAATATTTATAGCTACAAGATTTATCAGATAGTAAGATTTATATGAAAAACAAAATGAGAGTTTTCAAATGATTACATTCATTGATGCCACATAAACAGTTTAAGGATAAGACATAATAATTTGAATCAAGTAACAAAGACTAGTCCTCAGCTTAGCATAATTTATGAAACCTGCCAGTTTTTAAAAAAAATATTTACCACTTATTAACTTCAGAGAAAAGATAAACTTCCCTGAAGCTTTGCTGGGGAGGGTGGTAATATAGTAGGCAGTAAGACAAACAGGAGCAGAGTAGAAACAACAGGCCAGGTACAGAGGGTCATCAGGGTGAAAAGTCCTGGGTGCCTAGCAACAGGCAAAACTGGGCTGGGACCTCCTCCACCCCACCCCCACCCATTGACCTTTCCTCCCCTAGCATATCTCTGGTCTTGTGGTTCAGATCCTCCCCTGACCTTTCATATCACTGGTCATGTGGTTCAGATCCTCCCCTGACCTTTCATATCACTGGTCATGTGGTTCAGATCCTCCCCTGACCTTTCCTCCCCTGGCATGTCACTAGTCATGTAGTAGACCCCCTTAGAAGAACAGGGGAGAGAATAGCCTCATAGGACTCCCATACAAGCCCTTACACAACCACTGCCTTAAGCATTAAGCCCTAAGGACAATCAGGTTCTGGCCTCATCAAACAACCTTAGAAACAGAGCCTCCAGCCTGTTGACCACAGAGACAGAGAGTTGGTCCAACTAGAGATAATATCTAGGCCTCAGCTGTGTTTCAGCTCTAGGCCCAGAAAAGCAGCAAGGCCAGGCAGAGCTAAGCATTGACTCATGACCTCCTGCCCTGACACCACCAATCAGTGGAGAATGGGACCTGAGGGGAACACCTGGAAAGCTGATGAATATTCTATTGAGATCCTCCCCTGAAGCCTCCAGAAAAAAGCCCTTCAGAGGAAGGACCTGCATGGCTCCCTCCCTCTGGAGCACGCCCATGCTTTTCTGACTCCCTTCTTTGACAGTTTTCTCTCTCTCTCTCTCTCTCTCTCTCTCTCTCTCTCTCTCTCTTTCATTATTCTCAGATGGCATGATATTATACCTAGACAACCCTAAAAATTCCACCAAAAAATTACTAGAGTTATTAAATTAATTCAGCAAAATAGCAGAATACAAATTTGATATCCAGAAATCAATGACATTTTTATACACCAATAACGATCTGAGAGAAAAAGCTAAAAACAATCCCATTTACCATTGTAACAAAAAAATTT